GGATTTGTCTGCATATCTGACCACGGTAACAACTCTTGCTCTCCCTCGACTACTCTTTTGGATCATGACTCAGCCCTGTTTTCGCTTCTCTGCTTCAACGTGCTTGACCCCCGCTTCGACCATTGGACCACACCTCTGGATTTCACCTGCCACGTACAGACTGAGAAGGTTAGTGACTTTTACTATAATCACAGTATACTCTCGTCCTCACCAAAGTCACTAACCTCTTTGTCTTTTAAGATTGGACTCCTGCTCTTTGATACAACTGCGGGTGCTTGGCATCGCGCCCCTATCGCGCGGCCCCCTGGTGGGGTGTGCCCTTGCCTGCCGGCGCGCTTGGGGCCCTTGGAGTCGGGGGCTGGGCGCTTGGGCGTGTGTCGGCTCGGCCTGGTGTCTGCCTGGTGGGGCTCGGGTCCTCTGGCCCTGTCAGGCCTTGGCCTGGGTGGTGTGGGTCCTCGGTGCCCGGGCCTCCGTGCCCGGGCCTGGACCTGCATCGGTGCGGCGGGTTCCGGCGGGGGCCCATGAGTTCGTCGCTGTTGGCCCCGGGGGGTCACTGTATGTGGTCGCTGGTGGGGTTCTTCCGGCTCTCCCCTGTGGTCCGATCTGGGGGGTGGGCGAGTGGTTCGTCCTGTGTGGGTGGCCCTGGGGGCTCTGCGGTTGGGGTCCCTCCTGGGGTCTTGGGCTCTGATCCCCCCTTTTTTCGTCTGCCTCTGGTCTTGGGGGTCGGGTCTCTGCTGCTTCACAGTTACTATTAAATGTTCTATTAGAGAAGCCTTATACACTTATGCATGCTCACAACCACACACAAATAGAAGCAGGGATGCTTATGTAGGCTTTATATGTAGATATATAGATATGTATATGAATGTATATTCATGTGTATGTATGTATGTATATAGGCGTAGGTATGGACATATATATTTATGGAAACTTACTGCAAAGCCTTGAATATTTTAAGTTCTTTATACATATGTATTTTGTTGCTGTGTTTTGTCATGTTCTTTGCAGGTGAACAGACAGTGGCCGGGTGTTTTGCCGTGTGCTCTCTTTGTGTATATTTCTTATATTTTGGAGTCTTACTTTGTCTTTTCTTTCTTTCTATCCTATTATAAAAAATAAATAAAAAAATAAAAAAAAACCTACACTAGATAGTCACTAGAATAAATATTTCATAATAATGGTGTGGAGAGGATGGCTGTAAGGGGAGAAGGGAGGCCATCAAAAAAAAAAGATTGGACTCCTGCCTTGGACCCTGACTCCAGCAATCAGCAGCCTAATTAATAAAAACTGTTCTTGTTTTTGCACTCCTGTGTCTGGCTTATATTGAATCCTAAACCCGATCCTAACAAAGTTGGAGAATCAGTTAGAAGGAAACTTTTTTTTTGTCTTACAGAGGAATTGTTTCTGCTGTTCGTCATGTGAGCTGGAGCTCAGCAAACAGAGGAGTAGATATAGCCGTGCTTTTACTTTGAATTTTGAACCTCTGTCATGAAACAGAATCTGTTAGCAGATTTTTGAGTCGGGAACACCCCAACTGCATCTGAGCTGGGCACAGAGACCGCCGTTACTGTTAGCAATGCTAACAATACTAATAATGCTAATTAAGGATGTTAGACAATTAGAATGTCAGCACAGTTTGATCTTTTTGATTGTTTTACCAAGACAAATGAATAATTTTTATTGTGGGTGTGCTGTCGTTCAGGTGCTCCTTTCTCACACCTGAGGTGTCCACACACCTTAATATGTTTAATTACTGACCGTTAACGGCAGAAAAGATGATGCAAAAAACGTTACAGTTTCATTAACAAATTTATTAATCTAACATTACAGGTAAGTAGATTATTCAAATATTACTTTGGACAAAGCTGCTAGTTATTTCAATATAGATCGGGTAAGGAAAAATATGTGTAATTTGGTGTAGTTGTGTGCACAAAAAAATTAAAATGATAAGCATCTGTATTCTGACTTACAGCTCAGATATAGTATAAATGTTTGTTTATTAGGTTTTTGTTTTTTTTATAAATCCCTCTGTCTAATTATCTGGAGATTACTTGTAGATTTAACATGAACATATAAAAAGTTTTTAACAGAAATTTGGAAAAAATTATCTGATACCACTGAGGTTGATAGTACCAACTTTTCAGATTACTCGGAAAAAGTTTAACATATTAGATATATATATATATATATGCATATTTGTTGTGTTTGTCCCTTCAGCAAACTGAACCCCAGAGACAAAAACATCAGTGGTGTTAAACTGATTGGTACAACCGAAGAACAATTTTTCATTAAATCAGACATTTTAAAATGTATTTTGTACTGAGGGCTGAACAATGGTGAAGTGGTTAGAGCTGTCGCCTGAAAACATGCACGTTAAGTTAGCAGGTATCACTGACTTCTCTCCAGGTGTGAATAGATATTTGTCCCCAACCCTGGGATGGACTTCAGACCTGTCCAGGGTGTACTCTGCTCGAGATAGGTACCAGCTTACCATGATCCTGTTTAGAAAAGTAGGTTAAGAAAACGGATCGCTTTCTATTTCGTATTATGTTAATTATAGTTCTTTAAGAAAAAATTTCTATCAGAGCTGTACCCTCCAAGTAGGGAGGCCTAGACTTCCCTCTCCCCAGCCACTTGGGCCAGCTCCTCCGGGGGAATCCCAAGGCGTCCCCAGGCCAGCCGAGGAACATAGTGCCTCCAGCATGTCCTGGGTCTTCCTCTGGGTCGCCTCCCAGTGGAACGTGTCTGGTACACCTCACCAGGAAGGCGTCCAGGAGGCATCCTAACCAGATGCCCAAGCCACCGCAACTGGCTTCTGTTGATGTGGAGAAGCAGCGGCTCTACTCTGAGTCCCTCCTGGATGACCGAGCTTTTCACCCCATCTCTAAGGGAGAGCCCAGACACCCTGTGAAGAAAACTCATTTGGCCGCTTGTATCCGAGATCTCGTCCTTTCGGTCAAAACCCAAAGCTCATATGAGGGTAGGAACGTAGATCGACCAGTAAATCGAGAACTTCACCCTTTGACTCAGCTGTCTCTTCACCAAGACAGACTGTACAGTGTCCGCTTCACTGCAGATGCCACACCTATCCGCCTCTCAATCTCCCACCCCAACTCCTCCACTTGGGGCAGGACCTCCTCCCTGACCCGGAGAAGTCACTCTACCCTTTTCTGGCTTTTTCAGAGCTGTACACTTGTTGAAAATCAATATCGTTCCACAAAACCATAGTCGGTGCATCTGTATTATTTATATAAACACAAAAGTTTTGCAAACATGCTTGTTTCCATAAAAAGCGGGGAGACAGTTGGGTAATCGGCAGTGTTGCACAAAACATATGGTAGGGAAATTAAGTGTGTGCATGTGAATATGTAGGAGAAAATGAGTGTGTGTGTGAGACAGACGTGAATTTTCGAGGACGAGCAGAGCAGTGGCAGGAAGCGCTCATGACTCAGCCTTCGCTGGAGCTTCAGCAAAACATACAGATAACCAGAAACCTCAAATACAACAGAAAAATCGTTCTGTTGGAAATTTGGGAACAAAAGAGTGAGAAAATATATCCTCGATAGGCAGACATGGTGCAGTTTTTACTGTGGAATTAGAACATTTTCAGTGTTTCTACAATTTGTATATATTTTTTCCTTTCCTTGTTTTGTGTAATTTGGGTTTGCGCAAAAAGAAAGGTCAAAAAACAAATAAAAGATCCAAATACCACATTAAAGGGTTGTGTTTACTCTAACAAAAGACTGCATTCAAACATCCTGAAACAGATTTACAAATGTATTTAAGTTATATGACTCAACCAAAAGGTAAGCAGCTGTCTTAAATTCCACTTCATTTTACTGACCTGATGATCAGTCGGAGCTTACTGGACTTTCTGGGAGGGGATGGTGATGGCTGAATACTTACAACCCTTCTCTTTACTTTGGGTAAGAGCAAGGCAGTTGGTCTTGTGTGCAGTTTCCCCAAAGGTTTTTGGTTCATTTCTCAAACTCGTCTCATAAACACATCATATTGTAGCAATTTGATTATCTAAACTGAAACACTGAACATGACCTGAATGGCCGTAGTAACCATGTCTGTTGTACTGTAACAATGCCACAAAAACAACTTAAAACAGAAAACAAGGTGTAGAGCATGCAAATAAAGCTTATCTACAGCACAAACACAAGCAAACCTGCCATTATTGTTGTATGTTCTAATAAGTTTCCGCATGGATACAAGGCAAAAAAAATTTTTTCTTCCAAAAAACAGCTTTGAGTAGTCACAAAATCTTGTTCCTGTGTGGACAGCCCCTAAAAAGCACAAAACGGTAGGTGCACTGAACAATCTTTTACCACCAAGTTTCTCTTCTCCCACTAAACCAGTGTTTGTCCACAATGATGTTTCTGCAGCGTGGCATAACTTAAATCACCAACAACAGCACTAACAGAAGAAAGGGTGGCTTATACCTGTACCTAGATGGTGTAATTATTTCTGACACTAAGAGTTTGAGTAGATGCAAAGCATGAATGGACATTCAGACAAAGTTTAGGGTTGTAACGGTTGGCTTAGCAGGTGATTGTAATCACTTTAACTTAATGCATACGGTATTTAAAAAAAAAAAAGGTTTACTTTGCACTAGTTTGAACGCAGCTTCATGGACACGTTACTTGAATCAGGTTGGATACTTTAAGCTCTTGTACAATAAAAATGCCCTTAAAGGATAATCAAGTGTGATTTGTAACTGTGAAACCGTTCTTGTAAAACACCTGACCCATAAAATGAGACCAGGAGTGGAGTATTTCACCACACTTTCTAAAATGGAAAAGCTCTACGTAAAGGTGTGTTGTCTTTTTACTAAAATATGTTAAAATATGTCACATTTCATTGAGACTTCAGAAAATTATGCCAGCATAGGAAGAAGGTCCCAAAGCAGTGCTTTGAAGAAATATGTTCTCTTAGACCTCCAATCAAAGTTTGACCCTTTAGGAGACTTTAGTAGACAAGCTAGGGACACTCACCGCAAATAAAGCAAGTAGTCTTCAAAACCTCCTCTTTTTTTTGCTTTTCACTTCTCAAGTCAGCAAAAGTGTCAATGATTACACCAAAAATTAGGTTGAGGACGATGATGATGACCATGAAGAAGAACAGCAGGTCGTAAATCACTCGGGCTGCAAACAGTGGCTCCTAGACAAATGAAAGAAAACAAGGTTGTACAGTGTGCATCTGTAAACATTGACATTTCACTGATTCTTTAGCTATTAAGAGCAGAAAGGAAAGATTGTTCTATTCACAAATACGATCCAAAAGGCAGGCGTTAACATGCTGGGGATGATGTCACGAGTCTAAAATGAGGTTAATCTTGGGCCTTTCTGGATGTTCAAGGAAACAAGGCCACAGGTACCAGATGCTGAAGTAACAGAGACGACGGAAAGTCACCATGATGCAGCTGGTCTTGGTCAGGTCAGCATAATCCATTGATCAAATCAGGAACCCATTTCACATTTTTGTTGCCCGCTGCCAAGAGGTTTGTTTTGCCTGCGTGTGTGTTTGTCTCTGTTATCTAAATATCTCATAAACCACTGGCCAAATTATAATGGAACTTGCAGAAAGTAATTGGATTTATATCTACATCTGATTACCTTCTGGAGTCAAGAATTAAAGACTCCTAAAGTTCAAGATTGAAGACCTGATTTAAAATGGCTGCCACAGCCAGCTGTCAGTTTTACAGATACGGACATTAAATTTGGTGTGGCAGTTGAGAAAGCATATTCTGAGGGCTAACAGATTGCATAAGATATTAAAAAAAATAATTTCCATGAACTTATTTCCTTAAAGGAAGGAATGCCAAGACTTTAAAGTTAATTAAATTCTTGTAAGTACTGAGAGCTCTTGCTTGTGGGTGCAAGAGTCAAAAGCCTCTTCATTTCTGACCCGCTCGCCTGAAGGAAACCACATAAGGTCGTATCCACGTCTTTAAAACAAACGGCTTCATTTCTCTAGAACCCTGAGCACTCCGATCCAAGCACTAAAGTGTTGCGCACGCAGTCGCACATCCTCTTTTTGACATCACTTTCAGCTGAGTCTGAATTCACTAGAACCGTTTCATTTTAGGATTTCATTTCTCACACAAGCAGCGGAGTGCAGCTGGAAAGGAAACGTTGCAAAAGCTCAGTGCTCTTAAAAATCAGAACAAGCTCAGCGCACAGTGAGCTCACACACACATGCACACGCACGGAGCCTGAGGCCTAATCATACCAGGCACGTACCTCCTTAGAAGGCTTACGGAGAACATCCCCCACACCTCCTCCGCTCCTCAAACCGTGACTCAACACGGTAACAATGCACATCAGGAGGGAGTCGCACGTCCGCTCCATGTTTCCGTCATCCTCCCCGCCGTCCTCGTTTTCTGATTAAATAGAAAGCATCAGAAGATGATCCCCTCAACATGAAGCAACAGTTTATAGAGAACAACAAAAACAAAAGGTTTTCAGTAAATCATGACACACTGCTGTGTTTTTACTGAACTGGTTAAACTGGACGACCAGGAACTTGAAGATTGCCTAGAGCCAACAAACACCGAGGCTAAATGTTTAATCCATTCAAAAACACCTCAAAAGCATATGCAAATATTTCACATGGGAAAAAAAAATAATTAAAAAATTGCATATCCTATCATCAAAATACAGGTTTGAATGGCTGCCTTTCTTTTAAGTGTGCAGGATTTAGTTTCTATGTGTCACTTGGCATTTATTAATTTAAAGTAGTAAAAGTTGTAGAAACAATGGATATAAACTTTGATTTTAACATGTTTCTAAAAACCTTTGTAAATGCACTAGCAACTAGAGAAATTGCATTTCCTGCGAAAACTTAGTGTGAATGCTTATTGCAGAAGAACTTGCTGAAAAACATCTGAAATTAGCTAAAAAAAAACATGCTGAGTGAGATGTTGCTGAAATGGAAGACTAAGCCTACTTTAGCAGAAGAAAGCAGAAATAACACATAGTTGTTGAATTAGGTTTAAATATGCAAAAATCAACACAAAAATTACGAAATTTGCTAAAAAAAAAAAAAAAAGTTGAAATCAGCAAAAAAAAAAAAAAAAAAGCTGAAAAGGCAGAAAGAAGCTTAAACTACCAGAAAGAATCTGTACCTTGGTGCAATGCCAATAAAGTTTATTCTGATTCTGAGAAGTGGAAAGAGCTGAAATGAGCTTCAAAAATGTGGATTTAGTTGAAAATGCAAAAATGCACATAAAACAGCTAAATAGTAGCTGAAATAGCAGAAAAAGCTGAAATTAGTAGAAAGAAGTTAGAATAATCACAGAAATGTCGTAGTTAGCAGAAAGATCCTGAAAGCATCACAAACAGCTGAAAAAAACAGCTGAAAGTAGCTGAAAAATGTTTACATTTGTACAAAAAAGCTGAAAGAAGCTGCATCAGACCAAAACATGAAAGGAGCAGTAAAAGGTTGTAAACAGATCCAAAGATATGAAGGATGTAAAATGAGCTCAATTCATTTTTTGAGGAAAAAATGGCAGAAAAGGCTAAATATTTCAAAAAGCTAAAGTTGCACCAATACAAGAAGTCATAGCACCTTTCTCCTGAACGAGCTGAACGTTTTGATGTACGATTTGTTGAAATAGTTTGAAAACTGCGAGATGAGAATCGCTCCAATTAATCATACGGAAGAAAAATGGATCACGATAGTGTGAATGTGTCATAAACGTTCACACAATAAAATGCTCTAATTGAGTTATTCATATTTAGCATTGATTAAAAAAAAAATGAAAGCAGCTCATTTATTTTCAAAAAATGCCTTCAGATTTTCAGTAACTTCGAAGTTGTGTTAAGTAGTATAAAATCAGATATTCACGCTTTAAATTTAAGCTATAATCTGCTTTTTAATTTTTTTTAGAACAAACATTCCTGACAGTTACATAACTTAGTATTGGTTGTGTTTATGTGTTTTGGCTCTCAGTGTGACGCCTGTTAGTCAAAGCAGAAATGTTGTTGTTCGACTGGAACGTGAAAAGTTAGATAGAAAAACAAACGAGGCGAGTCTGAGCCTTAAAATAGCAGAAGGACAATTTAACACCTCTGACACAGTCAAACTCTTCTGAAAGTGTTTACATTTTTCCGCCTTGGTTTAATGTTAAGTTACAGTCATGGTGAAAAAAAAAAAAAAAAAGAGTCCTCCTGCTTTAAGGTTTTATGGTTTTACCTAATAAAAATGAAGCTTCTAAAATGATTTAAATCCAACCTCGAGTATTTTAAAACACAACAGATTACATAACAAACTAAAACAAAGCCCAAATGAGAAGCTGTGTGTGAACAACTAAGTTCACATTATGATCCAATTACTTCTACAAACAACTTTACAATCATGTAACTTATGATGTTATTAGAAAGTTTTAACCCACTCTTCTTTACAACATTGCGTCAGGTTATTAAGGCTTGTGGGCCTTGGTTTCTGCAGTTTTTTTAAGATCCCACCACAGCATTTCAATCAAACTGAGTTCTAAACCTTGACTGGACCTTCGCTACGTTTTGGTTCTTTTCTTTTTCAGACGTTCTGTTGTAGATTTGCTGCTGTGTTTGGGACCATCGTCCTGTCTTCAGTCCTAGTTTGGACCAAGCTTCAGCTGTCAGATGGCCTCACATTTGACTCTAATCCTTTTGTTCATGATCGACCCAATGACTGCAAGGTGTCCGGCTCCTGTGGCTGCTTGACAGGTGACATGAGGTGTTTGTGTCGATATGCTTTGTTTGGTTTTCTCCAAACAATGCTGTGCATTATGGGTAAATGTCTTTACTATGGTCTCATAGTAACCCTTGCAGACAAGCCAAACTTGTTCCGTCATTGTCTAAATGTTCTGTCATGAACTTTAAACCTGCTAACTGAGGCCTGCAGAGTCTGAGAAGGAGGAGCTCTTGGTTATTTGTAATGTCTCTGAGCACTGCACAGTTTGACCTTGGTGCTGGGTCATCTGGCCAATTGGTGAAATAATCTTTTTCGCTGTAGAATGAGGAGCTCCAAATGATTTGGAAATGGACTTTTGACCTGAGCGGCACAGTGGATCAGTTGGTAGAGCTGCCGCCTCTCAGTGAGAAGGTCGCTGGTCGAATCCTGTCTGAGGCACCTTTCTGGGCGGAGTTTGCATGTTCTCTTTGTGCATGTGTAGATTTCCTCCGTGTACTCTGGTTACCTCCCACAAACCAAAAACATGCATGTTAGGCTGACTGGTAACTCTAAACTGTCCCTAGGTGTGAAAGAGAGAGAGAATGGTTGTTTGTCTCGTTTGTCTTTATGTGTCCCTGTGATGGACTGGAGACCTGTCCAGGGTGTCCCCCGCCTCTCGCACAGTGTCTGCTGGATATGGGCATCAGTGACTGATGAAACCCGAAAAGAAAGAAGCGGGTAAAGATAATGGATGGATGGACTTTCAACCTTTTCCATGTTGATGGGCCACAACAGTTCCTTCTTCAGGGTCAGTACTGATGTCAGATGTACGGTAGACCCTCGCTACTTCGCAGGTCGACTTTCGCGGAGTCGCTCTTTCGCGTTTCTTCAAAGTAAGATTGGACACAACACATAATTGGCTGATTGATGGATGAGCCGCAAGATCGGCATGGATTTTTTAAAATTTAAAATAAATTATTTTAAATTAATTAGCACCTGCTGCACCTGTGTGCAGCCCACATCTGCAGGGAGAAGGGAGATCATGACATTCTGTGCTCTTTTAGAGTTTAGAAACATTGTTTAGAATATTGAAAGTGTGGGAAGGGTTTAAAACACCTTAAAATAAACTACTGCTTACTACTTGTACTACTATTCCTACTTCGCGGTATTTCACTTATCGCGGGTGGACTGAGAACGGAACCCCTCGCGATAAACGAGGGACTACTGCACAGTACAGATGTCTGTCCTCCTTGGCATCGTGTTAACGCACACCTAAATGCTCCAGAACAGCAAACAGCCAAACCACTCGATTTGCTGTAAGTCACACCAATGATCAATACATCTGATCAGCAGCACATGGATATTTTTTTTTAATTTTACAGTATCAGTAAGACGGAACTTAGTTTTTCTTACGCAGCATTTCCATTTTGAAGAGTGGACCCCCCCACCCCCATGATTGTAAATAAAGCTTTTCTATTTCCTGAGAAACATAAGAAACAACAGATACAAGCCTATTTACATGTAATATATATTTTGAGCTAATTAAAAAAAAAAAACTTCATATGTTTGTGAGCATTTTCTTTTGCTGATTTATGAGCCCAAACAGCCTGACTGGTGGGGAGTTCCAAGGAATTAAACTTTTTTTAAGATGTGACCATAAATCTATGTCACATGCAGGTTAATGAGGTCACACGTGAGTTACTCGAGTTCATCAGGAACCATCTGACACTCACATGCATTTAAGTGTGAACTGGTGTTAAATTGGTGTTGCAAAACTGAATAGAAAAAGAGCTCTATTTTATTTAAAACACACACACACACACACACACACACACACACACACACACACCCACACACACACACACACACACACACACACA